TTATAAATGAAGATAAGGTTTTCATTTATCTAACCGGCCCAATAGTAATTGGATCGGGATTCTTCAGTTTTATGAACCCCAGTTCCCGCTCTTTATCTTATAAATTGATGTAGCTTCTTTACCTTGAAAATATTTTCGCCAGAGAACTAATCCTTCCTTTTTACCCTAATTCCACCATCATCACCGCCGCCGGTTCTTCGTTCAGGAAGATGTCTTCGGTGAACCAAGAATTTCCTCCAAAATGCAAGGCCATTGAATCTGAGAGTCTAACGGGGAATGAGAAGAGTTTTCGATATTTAGTGGAAGTAACATCGGTGGAACTGGAACATCGGATTAGTCGATTGGAGCGTCTGTTTGCTGAGCGTGAGCGATTACGAGCAGCGAGATATTGCGACGCGTCTCATCAAGAGCAAAATCAATTCGCGGAAGAAAGCTGTTCCAGTTGTTGAGGTTTTCCTCTGCTTTAATTCACTTTTCTTTTTTCTATTCGATCACTCTTATTTTTTCTATTGAATGCATTGTTTGTTGTTCAAGTTAGTTAATATCTGTAATTAGGTTCTTTTTCTTCTATTTGTATATGATGGAATTATTCAATGAACTCATTGAGTTTAGTTAATGTGAATTCGAAACTCGTTTCCTTTGATTGATTTGTGTGGATGAATTGATTCTGCACAATGTTTCATAACTTCCTCAGTTCGCATATAATCGCATATAATCTGTTGAGTTACTCCCGTGGAGATCTAGCTTTTACTGCTACCTATGATGTCCGTGTATTTTCAGTTTCCTTAACAAGTTCTTTAAATAAAATTAAATGAAAAGAATATTAGGAGAATATAATGCTTGCGAATTTAGTTAGTTTTTTTTTTTTCCCCTTATTAATTCAAATTATTCAAATAATTTTAATCAATCAAATTTTGATTTAATTATGCTTTAAATTTTAGGTTTTTTTTTTATTAATAATAAATTTAATTTTGCATACTAAGAAAGTTGAATCTTCATTTATAATGTTTATAACGGAGATTGAAAATTCAATGTAATGAAAATTCTTAAAAATTCAATGTAATGTTTATAACGGAGAATGTGAATAATGAATGTGATTGAAAATTCAATTTTTATTAGGATACAAGCATAACTCCTAAAAATAGTGAAAAATAGTGAAAAATATACTAAATATATTATTAATCCAATTAATTTTGAAAAATAAAATACATCAAATACACTCTTAATTAAATTAATTTTGAAAATGGGATAAAATAACTAAACTATCTTATATCAAATATACTATTAATTAGATCCTTCATCACCTATTTATAACTCCTAAAAATAATAGAAAATATTCTACTAACTAAATATAGATACAAATACTAACTAAATAGAGATATAAGTTACAAGTCACTCTTAAAAATAATAGAAAATATTCTACTTTCTAAATATAGAAAATATTCTACTAACTAAATATGAAAATAAAATAGAATATAGAAAATATTCTACCAACTAAATATGAAAATAAAATAAAATATATTAAATATACTAGGTAGAAAAAATCCTAATTCTATAAAATATATTCCAACAAATATGGGTGTATATGATCACATACAAATATTCCAAATTCAAATATATAATTTTTAATTTAATATTTTTATGTCATAAATATTTTGTATCAATTTAATATTTAATAGCTAAATTTAAATGTAGTTTAAAATGAGGCAAGTGGACTGAACGAGGAGAGAGCTATAGTTGGTAGTTGTTGATAATAGTAAGAGACATAGTTGTTGATAATAGTAAGAGACAAAGTGCATCGCCCCATCCTCTTATGTCGTATTTGTTCGATAATAGTAAGAGATAAGTCTCAATTAAGTTCAAGTCCAAGATGTCTATTTATGAAGCACGACCTACGGAATGATTGACGAGACTTAGGAAGGCAACTTGATTGGGAGTGGATATTTCACTTTACCAACAAGCATGAGAGTGATGCACTTTGTCTTTCTTCTAAAAATTGCCCTCTCTCAATTCGATGTTGGTCCAGTCTACTATGCACCTCAGCTTACTCTAGTCTGAACCTTTTGCTCTTCTAATATAAACTCAAACTCAAAGGCTTCACAATGAGCTACTCTCTTATGACAGGAAAAATAAAAAAATAAATAATAAAAAAATAACAAAACATAAATAAAATAGTTATGGTTTTTTTTAATCTTTTAAAATTCTCAATTTTACCCTCAATTTGTTAAAAATTCTCGGCTAGAACCTTCCATACAAATATTTATTAAATTTTATTTATTATATTAACGTATAATTTATATTTTATACCAACTTATGCGGCAAGCCAAAAGTTGGGAATGTTGGACAGACGCGCGATGAAAACGGCTACTTTGGCTCAACAAGGTTTCCGAAGATGGGTCTCCTAAACTTAGCGAATTTGACCCATTCTGCCTGGAATCAAAACTTGGGGGTTTGGGACAGGAAGAAACAAGAAAAACAAACATCAGCTCCCTTTTCCCGATCGAGAGAGACCAGAAAAGCCAAAACCATCTGGTTTTTTTCCGGGAAATAGCTGGTTTTCTTTTCCTTTCACGTTTATCTCCTCTGTCGGATCCCTTTACAAATTCTTTTTTAATTTTCCTTTTTCTTTTTGGCTTTGTTTGTGGGGTTGAAGCTGAAGAGAGCATTTTCCCTTTGTTATTTGCTGATTTTGTTTCATCCCCCACACTCTTTTCTGATTTTCTGTTATTATGTGCTTTGATTTTCTGGGATTTGTTCAATGCAACTTCTTGACTGTTGTTTGTGACTGACTGCATTTGAGTTGGGGAATTAACAAAGAGGAAGATGAATTGCTTTCAATGTTGCTTGACAGACAAGAAAGTCGATAGAAAATCTCTGAAAAAGAGCATTAAGGAGTATCAGGACACAAAAGCTCTAACCTCTTTTGCCAACATTTCCTTTAAATCTGGTGACCCTTTTGTTCCTTGCTCCCTTCATCCCAATTTTTTTATTTTATTTCATGTTTTTCATATCGCTTGAGGCATCTTGGTGGTTGTTTCTTGGTTTATAATCCTTGATCATATGTTTCATTTGAAAAACTTGGCTGTTGCAGATAGCAGTCGACGAAGGTACATAACTGAGGAGATAAAGAAGTTAGGAAAAGGAAACATCACAGCTCAAACTTTTACATTTGGTGATCTAACCACTGCTACTAATAACTTCGACCATGAAAATCTATTGGGGGAAGGTGGTTTTGGAAGGGTGTACAAAGGCATCCTTGAAAGCACAAAACAAGTATATAATGACACAATCTTTGATTTCATATGTTCCTTCTGTGCAAATTATAAGTGTTCTTGAGTTCTCTATTCATTTTTATTTCCGTTTTTGTCTCGTCTTCCTTAGGTAACAGCTGTGAAGCAACTCGACCGAAATGGATTTCAAGGAAACAGAGAATTCCTTGTAGAGGTTTTGATGTTGAGCCTTCTTCACCATCCCAATCTTGTGAATTTGATTGGGTATTGTGCTGATGGGGATCAGAGGATCTTGGTTTATGAGTACATGGCTCACGGCTCCTTGGAAGATCATCTTCTTGGTATGTCTTAACAATTCCAAATGTCAATGGATTTATATTAGAAATTCTGTTTGAGTTCGTAGATCTAGCCATCTTCCATGATTTACAACAGCCTTTACATATTCTTTTTTCATGTAAATGTTTCATTGATCCGTTGAAATGCCAAAGAAGCTCGATCTTTAGCTTGTCACAACCAAATTTCTTATACTAGCTTCTAAGGTTGGAGCCTCCTATTTTCAGATATAGCGCCGGATAAGACGCCTCTGGACTGGAAGACGAGGATGAAAATTGCTGAAGGAGCAGCGAAAGGACTTGAATACTTACACGAAACTGCGAATCCTCCTGTGATATATCGCGATTTCAAAGCTTCGAACATATTGTTGGATGAGGAATTCAATCCAAAGCTTTCTGATTTTGGTCTTGCAAAGTTAGGTCCTACTGGGGATAAATCTCATGTTTCCACTAGAGTGATGGGAACCTATGGTTATTGTGCTCCTGAATATGCACTCACAGGACAGTTAACAACGAAATCAGATGTTTACAGTTTTGGTGTCGTGTTTCTGGAGATAATAACTGGAAGACGAGTTATAGACAATGCGAGACCAACAGCAGAGCAAAACTTAATCACTTGGGTATGCTGAATAATCTTAATCTGTTAAGAGTAAAAACTTGTTAATTCTCAACCATGTTTACTTCTTCATTACAGGCACAGCCTCTTTTCAAGGACAGAAGGAAATTTACACTCATGGCAGATCCAAAGCTAGAAGGAAACTATCCAGTGAAGGCTCTGTATCAAGCTCTGGCAGTGGCAGCCATGTGTTTACAAGAGGAAGCGGGTACACGGCCATTGATCAGTGATGTGGTTACAGCTCTCGAATTTTTAGCTGCAAATAAGGATATCGATGCAGATGTAGATGACGAAGAGCCAGGTTTGATATCGGGAGCAGGTTTGGGTTCAGCTTCTCCTGATAGAAGTAGTAGTAATGGTGATAAAAATGTTGATGTTGAGGGTGAGTGATGGGAGGTGATTTACAATTTGATTGACACTAAAGGGAGAAGACATTCGGAGCTTTGGCAACTGTAACTGGGGCAGCTTGGCTCCCCATTTCCTTCATTCTTTGAATACTTTCCAATATGACAAGGCCATTTAAGGATATTGGAGTATTGTTCAAAATCAAATTATAATAAGCACTGAGAAGTATACAAAAAAAAAAAAAATGATAATTTTTTTTTTATTATTATTATTTTGGTCTCTAACCAAATGGAGCTTAACAGTTGTATTCAATATAAAAAAATAGTATCGAAGTTAGACACCGGACGATGTGTTAGTGAGAATGATAGATTCCAAAAAGAGGTGGATTGTGAGATTCTATATCGAGGAACGAGTACTAGCAAGGACGTTGTACCCTAAAGAGGATGGATTGTGAGATCCTGAATCATAACCGATCTCTGAAAATAACATGAAAATTGAATTTATAGACATAGATCCCATTACATAATCATCGTACACTTGGGGAATTAAGTTACACAGACAACTCTTCAAACAAGAAAAAAACATCCAAGAAGCCAAGAAATTTGCTATACACAGAAGCAGGAGCCTACTACTAGACATGTACATTCCTCACAAGCCAAGCCCATTTGGCTAAACTATTATCATCACCAACATTATCATCATCGAGGAAGGGTGGGTGAAAATTTCATATCAGCCACCATAAACAAAATCTTCACAAGGAATCAGGACTTGAACTGAAGGAATGGTTGCTTGATGTTTGTTAGTTTAGCTGGAATTTTGTTTGGCAAGATCTATTTGGCAGAGTACCAGTTTTGCGCACACTTGGCATCCACGGCAAGGTCAACGTTGAGAATGTTCTTTCCGTTGAAGGGTTTTGACATGCACTCGACGACAATGGCCTTAGCAACCTCTGCAGACTCGGTCGGTCCTTCCAAGATCACTTCATCGTGAACCTGACTTACAAGAGAAGTGTTAATTCATGTAAGCATTTCTGAGATTACTATAGATAAAATGGGTAATTGAAAGCGTTGAGTTGAAGTGCCACATGAACTTATTTTAATTCTGCAAAACAGCTTTGAAAACGACAGCAGAAGATCAGAAGAGCCTTTTGAAAACAGTATCCCAAACAAGCCTTAGCAATAGGAAAGGTAACAGCAGGTAGCAAACAAATTGTAAGAACATGATGGTGATGAATGATGACCTGCAAAAGCAATCTCCATCCAAGTTCCCTCAAACGTGAATTTTTAGATATTTCCAACATGGCACACATGGCAACATCGGCAGCACTACCCTGTGACAGACCAACATTTGTGAACTGGATATAAACATTGGAGATTGGGATGAGAAAAGGCCAAGAAAAAATGTTAATGAACAAACCTGCACGGGAGTATTGATAGCAGCTCTTTCTATGTGCCCTTTATGGGCACGAGTAGCATGCTTCATTGATGGAAAGCGACGCGCTCGTCCCAGCAATGTACGAACACATGATTTCTCCTCAGCTTCTCTCTTTCGAAGATTTTGCCACGAACGAACCTCTTTTCTTTCATTATACCACAAGTCAACCGTCTGCTTTGCTTCCTCCACCGTAACCTGGATGATGCGGTAACACCTCCCAATTAGCAACTAAACGATACTTGGAAAGAAATTTAGGTTTAGGAAGTACCTTCCAATCCTTGGAAAGGCCAACAGGAGTCTTCCCATATGCAATGGAAAAATTGAGCATTTTGGCTTTCCTTCTTTCAGAACCAAATGCATCCTGCAGAAGAGAGAAAATGTCCACATAAAAGAAAGTGAAAAACAAGAAAGAATTGCCTCTTTGACAAGAATAGACAAAAGAACAAGAAACTTCCACATCTTAAAATGCTAATATAATGGTAGGCAAAGAAAGCAAGTAAACAAATATAAAAATGATACACATACTGTGTATTACACTATACACTATGCAAAAGCTAAAGGAAATCCCATAGTTAATGTACGCAGACTTAATCTGTATTATCTGAGCAAGAGAAATCTCTGACCTTATAAACAGAATAAGATTCAATCAGCAATCAAAGAAGAGTTCAAATCACATTTATCACATAAAATAAAATCAAATTGGATGCAAGAAAGTCAGTTGATGGGAGAACACCTAAAAAATCCATAATGGGCATGAAGTTGATGGACACAGAATGCAAGGTACCCACCAATTAAAGGCACACGAATGCAACAACCCAACCCACGATTTAGAACTGGCAGCAAAGGTCTTTGCCCTTAAGATTTGGAGACATTATATGTATTGAGAAAAAATTCAAATTTTCACGGACCATAAGAACCTTAAGACCATAAGAGCCTTAAATATTTCTTCGGAAGGAGCTAAACATAAGACAGCGCACGTGAAAGGAATTAGTTTAAGATTACGAGGTGGAGATACTATATCACCTGAGTTAGGCGAATGTAGTGGCAGATGCTTGAGCAAGAAAACAGCTCTCACATCAGCACTGATTACTAACAGGTTCATATACGAACAAATTTGAAACATATTGAGATAACAGTGGTAGCAGGAGAGGTTGGACACAGTTGCTCGGTTGTCAATTTAGCCGACGTAGAGACAGCAGATTATAGACTCCCAGCAGATGGATTCACATTTTACTGTGATTTGGCGCTATCAATTGGGTTAGTTGGAGAATATTTTCAGATCGATCTGAAATTTCGGGTCGGTTAGATTGACAACTCAAATGAACTAAATAGAATTCACAACTCAACCCAACCCAACCAAACTCTCTATTTTTGGGTTAGGTTGAGTACTATCTATTTAAGGGTTAGGTTGAGTACTATCTATTTAAGGGTTAGGTTGAGTACTTATTCACCATGTCACATTAATAACAAAACTATCATAAAACTCAAATATTAAACATTTTCAAGTCATAACATATCACTAACATCTACTACAAACATCAAATATTCTTAATTTTTATAACAATCTTAAAAATAAGGTAGAATTGGTTAGGTTTGAAAGAATTCAAAGGATATTTCTTATCAAAGGACCTTCTCAAGTCCATTGACACGCTACATCAGCGTGTGAGTGGACATCCTTGCATGCACATGCGTTTTTTTAGAAATATTGATGTAATCTTTCAAATTTCATTGTTAAAGATAAGGCATTTCCATTTCCTATGATTACTAAGATACTAGAGAAATATGTACTGCTTTGAAAAGCCTACAACTCCAACAAAATTAATCATATCTGCTCACATTGAACAATTTCAACAAGAATAGAGTTTACCTTCAACAATGGAACTGGAGGCTTATCTTCGCCTGGTTGAGGATCCCACTCAAGAAGCACGCTTCCATCTTCAACAGCTTTACGAATATGAGGGTACATATTCATCGCGGTCCTTGAATGGAAATCTCCCCCAGCTTTAAAGGCTTCCAGCATGCTCTTACAATTGGCAAGATGAGCAAGAATCCTAAGTTCCAACTGCCAAATAAATTTACATTTCAATCAATAATGTTTTCTTTTCTAGATAAGAAAATATATAGTTGAAGCAAAGAGGACACAAAAAGAAAGCAGGGGAACATGGGACAAAGCTAAATTATACACCACATAAAGAAATCACCTGCCATCAATGAAAAAGTTACCTGGCCATAATCAGCAACAATGAGGGAATTTCCAGGGGCAGCTATAAATGCCTGACGGATTTTATACCGGTCCTTTTCCAGAGCCGGTTGATTCTAGTACAGAAAAAAAGAACTCCAACCTAAGCCTCCATTATAATCATAGTTTGGAAAAAAAAATATGAACATAAAGTTCACTTTTAACTGAGATGATAAACACACTCGCACACAAAAAACGCAAATAATCAATGCAAGTAAAGTTGATACAAGTTAACTATGAACCTGCAAATTTGGTCTTCGAGCTGAGAGGCGGCCAGTTTCTGTGTTGATATTTAGAGAACAATGTATGCGTCCATTCTTACCAGATATATTGCTTCCCTGTGATAGTAACAACAGCCAATTTGAACATAAGTACAAAATCGTGCCAAGAATTTGAAGTCTTAACATATGAAAATCATGTGTTCATCAGAGAGAGAGAGAAACTCCATGCTTCCAAAGATTTATGTTCATCAATCAATATCAACATTAAATCAGGTTAAGCAGTATGCTATGAATTAATTCCTTCTTAAACCTACAAGCACATATAAAAGTCATAATTGGCAAACAAATTTATTTACACCTAACTTATAAGCAACTCGCAACAGGGTAAGAATTAGCTAAAGTTCCAATAATTAAAGTATCTCTTTTGAAAGGATGTTATTAATGGGCCTAAATGGGGACTTGGCAGAAGAATTTCACCTGCAAGGGAAGGATGAAATTTGATATCAAAGAATCAATGGAGCAGACTTCGCATAAAGCAGCAATGGCATGACAAGCTTCCCTGCCCTTCTCACTTGATCCAAATGCTTTAAGAGCAGTCCCATAATCAGACATATTTGCACTTTCATGAATAATATGCTTTTTATTTTCTACATGAGACACTGTTTCAGAATCATCGCCAAACTCATTGTCAGACTGCAAATCATCAGTGAAGTAGTCGTACTCTGCAGAGACCTTGCCCGCTAAGACCTTTAGAGCATCCCCACTCACTGACGGCCAACCAGTTGCTGTGTACATTTCTGTTGAAAGATCCTCCACACTAATTCTTTTTAAAGTAATATTCCGGAACTTACTGGGAGATTTCTTCCCTTCTTCAATGACATTTTCAGTGTTAGGAACTTTGAATGTCCTTTCAGTTGGAAGAGACTCTTCGGGGTTTTTACTGTCCAATAAAAAAATAAGGATTTTTTTAAAAGAAATCAGTAAGTTTGGAGCCAAAGGATCAGAAACATGTCCATTATCAAAAGAGGTAAGTTAGGTAACAGTATAAAATTATGTAATAAAGAACTTACAACTTGCATATGTCCAAGTCCATGGATAGTAGATAAGTCATAATTTCATACATGATATCCGATTACGACCAACTAATGGATTTTACGTTTAAAAAAATAACAAAAATATTTTGAGAAAATAGAAAAATTACCTGTTAGAAGTACCACCGAAGAGCAGTTGGCGCAATTGTGCATCACTTCCTACATTCATATGTCTGGCATCAGGGCAGTACTTCGAAGCCCAGTTACGAAATCTGTTAGCGGCAACCTGTTGTTCTGCTATGGCCAACTTTTCTATCTTAGCAAGATATGGCCTATCAACCAGCATTCCCTCAGTTTCCATTTTGACAAGAAGTTCACCAAATGGTTGCCAATATTCTTCATAAAAGTTGAACATTGTTTTATTTGGAATCATTTCTCCATTTCTCTCCCAAGGCATGCCAGACAGTTTATTTTTCAAGCTCTCATAAAGCTTCAGCGTGCATGTTGAATCTAAAGCAGAATACGATACCCATAGTTTCTTTTCTTCACGTTGAAGTTCTTCAACAGGAGGAATAACTATAATTTTGCCTTCAGATCCATCCTTTTTCATCTTCTTCCGGCCAAAGATAGTTTTCATGGATATTTTACCAATCAACTCTTTTTCCTGGCCCAATTTAGCCCCAGACATGACCTTTGTATCACCAGAAAGAGCTTCAAGAGAATATCCACCATTTATTCGTCTTGACGAATCCCATAATCGAGCCATGTGCATTGTGTCGGCATGGAAGCCAGAAACCTTAATCCCATAATTTTCAATAATGTGATTGTCAAAGCTGTAGTTGTGCCATACCTAATAGAAATGCAGGTTTGGTCAAAACCAGACCATCTTCTGAGTTATAGCATGCCCCACACACACACATGCGCAGCATTCTCATAATTTAACTAATACGAGTAAATGAATAGGCCAAATGTTTCCTAGACCTCAGAATAATTAACCAATCTTAATACCACGCAGCTCTTATACAATCTATCAACAATATGTTAAAAAGCCATCATCTAGGCGACCGAAGCTTTGGAATCCCAACTATTTAGCTTACTGTTATCCATGGATTATTTATTTTTAAAGTGTTTTTTAAATCACTTTTTTGGGAAAATCAATTTTAAAGTGTATTTTTTATATATATATTTTTACAAAATGATTTATTGGCTACCAAATCTTGCATACTTTAGAAAAAAAACACATCAAGTTGTCCAACATCAGTTAGGAAATTATGCTAAACATGCTCTTATTCTCTTCAGATTTTCCCAAAGGATGGAATCTCCTTTATAAAAAAATCTCACCTACATTAGTCTACCAAAAAAAGACTCCAAGAGGAACAAAAACAAATACCTTTCTGATCGAAGGATCTTCGAAGAATGGTGCAAATTGAATCAAAATTTCCTTACCACCACCATCAAGAACATCAACCCAGATGCAAGACTTTCCATTCCCAAAATCTGCTGTTGGTCCTGAATAAATACTGAAGCATATTATTTCACCATGATCAACGGGTGTTTCTTGCTTCACATCGATCTTGGCCACCTTAAAAAAAATAGAAAACAGAACAAGGATTGAAGAAGAGTTTGCAGGTATGTGCCCATCATGGCATGACAGAACTTAGGTGTATACAATAAAGTTGAAAATATTGGTCTATAAGTCTATTTCAAGGCTGTGAAGGTACATAACACAGCAAATGAGAATAAAGTAAGATTTAAGCACCTCAGTATCGCAAGCATGCACAAGATTCCTGTACTTCATAGTAAGCATTGAAACAACTTCCCTTGCTGCACATATACTATCAACAACAAGAACACTATCATATACACCATTAAGCCTCTCCTTTATATCTGGTTTATGATTAGTTGCAGGTGCTTCCATAATCTTGGTGCCACCACCGTTGATGGTCATTTTAGAAAATTCTTCCACAGCTGAACCCCTCTTTAGTCCATTAGCAGCTTCAGTGAATTCCGAAGCTTTTGATACACTATCCATCTTTCCCAAAGGGATACTTTGCTTTATGCCATTAGGTGAAACGTTTGGTGAGCGATGCATAATTGACCCCTTTCCATTTTGAGAAAAGGTATAGTTTTTGTTACTTAGCATAGGAATGACCTGATTATGCAAATCATTATTTGCAGGCTTGGTCATGGTCTGTTCCCCAGAATAAAAACTAATGTTTCCATTGCATATGTCACTTGAAACCTTGATTGTCTCAAGTGAAAGTGTCCTATCACTAATTTTCATCCTATCTATAGTTTCAACATTCTGAATTTGTTCAAAACTCATAGGTCCTTGTTTCCTGAATCCATCTGATAACATATTAGTTGAAGGGTTTATACAATCAGAATTCTTATTTGCGTTGGAAATGTTGCTTCCCAAATTTGACTGAACCTTAGAGTGTGAAGTCCCATAGCCAATGAGACGTTCTTCGTTTCTTAGCTTTTCTTCATCATTCGTTGTCAGGATCTCAGTTTCCATAAACCTAAAGTGCTTCTCTTGCTTCAGTCGCATAGTACTTTTAGACCATGCATTTACATCAGAGAGAAACGCCCTCTCATTGTCGTATTGTCTAGCTTCAACAAATGAGTTGGTAATCAAAGAAGAACTTTGTCTGCACTGACAAGAAGCATGAAACGTCTTCATATTTGAAGAAACACCACCAACACTCTTCAGGGGACCAAATTCAGCTCTGCAAATGAACATATTCAGAAACATTCAGATCCAAGCTTTTCACAACCATACTCCCTCTCTCATATAATTAATCAATATCCTGAGCAACTTAAGACAGAAACGACTAAAACAACAAAATGGAGTCCCAATAAAGTTGCGAGTTCACTTCTGATAAATTTGAGGCCTATTCATTCATGTCACTAAGCATCAATCACACTCGTACCGAAGAGGAAAAGACCTCCCCATAGATGAAACAAAGTAATATGACATAATTTAGTGGACCCGATAATATGGGAAAAGGGGCTGAAATTTTTCCAGATAAAATTCTACCTAGAAAGCTAACCCATATACTTTTTCTTGAGTGAGTACAAAAGCTTTAACTCACACTAAAAACCCACTACCATGCAGTTTCAGTCATTCAACCAACAAAAAAGCAAAGTAAACATAATAGGGGGTTAACAACGAACACCCATTTCCAGAAATCATCGCGATAAAGAAACTAAATATTCTTAGAAAACACACCCACCAAACATGTTCTTACCTCTAACATACAGGAAGAACAAACTCACTTCGCAGTTTCAATCAAGAAAAAAATTAAATATATCTTGAAATGAACAACAACCGCATAGTCGAGAACAAAATTCAGCAAATTCCGTACAACGATGACGAAATGTTCTCCCACACGCCATTAACAAAAAAAAAAAAAAAAAAAAAAAAAAAAAAAAAAAAAAAAAAAAAAAAAAAAAAGATGACAAAAAACGGGTAAATAACACAAAAGCCTCCGGTTAAGAAGAAACCCAAGAGAAGAGTCACCTGCATAGAGCCTTGGAGGAGGCGCAAAAGGAAATAGAAGAGATAGAAACAGAGTTAGACCGCCATAGAAAGAAATAAGCAGGCCATTGAGCTCTCAAAGAAGAGGCTTGGGAAGTGGAAACCCCCAAAGTCATCATCTCTACAACTCTGCCCAACTTGCTGCCGCAGTGGCTTATACAAGGAGCCGTCTTGAAAAGTTTTGGGATAAACCCAGAGAGATAAACCGAAGTATTGAGGGCTTTTTGTTTTATCCGTGGTTTCAGACAAGTGGGTCTGAGAGTGGAGCAGTACAGAGCACAGCCATGGCAGAGGAGAGGGGATAGTAGGGGGGCAGAAGGGACTCCAGGTTAAACCCTTGTAGAGCGATGGATGAGAGAAACCCAAAATTGACGTCCAAATTTCATGGCTGCCATTGCTTTTGTGATTGCATTTTGCCGGCCCAAACAAAAGTGAAAATGGAGGGTTTTTGTCCGTTTAAACCCTTGCGCCATAATGATTGTAAAATTATTTATATATTAATCTCAACTTTAGTCAAACTGCCTCAACATTAGGTTAAATTATGGTTTGTTTGGACTTTTAATTTAAGGGTCTTTCAACAATACATTTTTAAGTTTTATTTTATTTTATTTTATTTATGAAAATCGTTTTAAAATATTAATTATATTTTCTCGTAAGCGTTTTCTTTTAATCTTAAAAGGTTTATATTAATGTCAAATTACTATAAAAAAATATTTAAAATAATATGATCTACCAACTATTATTGCTCGGCATTCGAGGGGGTTGTCGACAGTGATTGTGAGATGTTCGATTAGAGAGGGAAACAAACATAGGTGCGAAAACCTCTCTGCAGCAAACGGTTTTAAAAACATGAAGTTGACGGTAATACGTAATTGATTAAAACGGAAAATATGTTCACCAAGTGATGTTCACAATTGTCGTCAACGGTAGGTGTACAATGGTCGCTAGTAATAGTAGTTATAGCGTAAGGACATTTTGGTCATTTTCACTAGGGTGAAATTTTGAGAGATTAAATTTATTAAAATTTTAATAAAATATTTTATGTTATAAAGTGAATAGTACTTCACTAGATGGCTGTTACATGCAGCATTGAGTGGAAACATTTATTTTGTAGCCACCGGGGCTTTTAGTTCGTATTAATATTATTATTAAAATAAAATAATAATTATAATAATAATAAAACTAACCTCCTCCCTCCCCTAATCCATTCTTCCTCTTCCTCTGTAAAACCCTCAGGTGCCACTCCCGCCGTTCACACTTCTCCGGCGGCTACAACTGATAACCAGCACTGTTCTTCAGTTCTCTCCTCTTCTTTCCATGGCGACCATGAGATTCTCTACTAATCTTGAGTTCAATGGCTGTTTAACTAATTTGAACAGCCCTTATTCTCAGCCGAACTCGAGCCTCACCAAGCCGTTTTTATGCGTTCAAGCGTCCAAAGGTTTATCCGGGAATGAGTCGATTCAATTTTCAGTAAAACCTAGAGGATTTGGGAGGATGGGAGTTGGCTCTTCTTTACCAAAGAGGATTTCACGTGTAGAGGCAAAAGAAGGTCTTACATATAAGGATGCTGGAGTAGACATAGACGCTGGTACAGAGCTTGTGAGGAGGATCGCTAAGATGGCTCCTGGTATTGGCGGCTTTGGAGGGCTTTTTCCTTTAGGTTTGTTCATTTTCGGCGCCCCTTTTGAATTTGTAACTATGGAAGCTGTTTAGGCCCTGTTTGTTGGATTTTTTGGGTTTGGTTCTTGGTTTTTCAACTCGAGGCTTGACTCTTTTTGGTTTGATGGATTGAAAACGAAACTAGAGGCTGCTTACATGTTTAACCATTTGTTCTTACGTTCCAGCTTATTTTCGGTTCGCTAAATATTTGACAACTATCACCATGTAACGATTCTAATATGATTTTCATACTGGCTGTGAGCTGAGAAGTATGGCTTGGTTGAATGGATGAGAGAATTTTCTTATGTTATATTAACTCGAGAGTTTGATGGATGCTGTTGATTTGTAGTTTTCGAGATATACTTTTTTTCTTTGCTGAATAAATTTTGATAAACAGGTGATTCATATCTTGTTGCTGGCACTGATGGTGTTGGAACTAAACTAAAGCTTGCTTTTGAAACGGGGATTCATGACACTATTGGAATTGATTTGGTAGGCTGTTTATATTTTGGAGATTTATGCAATTTATACTCATTAACTCTAGTCTCATAAATAAGTTCTATCCCAGGTTGCTATGAGTGTTAATGACATTATTACTTCTGGAGCAAAACCTCTATTCTTTCTTGATTACTTTGCTACAAGCCGCCTGGATGTTGACCTTGCAGAAAAGGTACGGATGAAAGTTGAAATTAGTTGATTGGTAGTTTTTTCCATGTTCATATGAATCAACATGTGTTATATAGCTTATCTGCTCTTTGTGTTTAGGTGATAAAAGGTATTGTGACTGGTTGCCAACAATCCGACTGTGTTCTTCTGGGTGGTGAGGTATATTTGACTATTTTGTTAAAATTGTTTTGTTCCTGAGGAGTAAAGCTCTCCGTTGTTATGTAGTGCACACTAATTGTTTTGTTCCTGGAATGAATTAATTTTCTTGTATTCAAGCCGGTCTCAAATGGCTCCTAAGTTTCTACATGACAATAATGTTCATAAACAACTTGTTGGTTTTGCTGGCCATGTGCTATGGCTTATGGCTGAAACATAGAATAGAGTGGCTATGAAAAACTTGATATGAATTCAATCTTCATTTTGAATCGAGACTTGTTGATAGTGCTCATGAGCTGCACGCAGTATGCTTTGAATCCATCTTCTAAAAAGAATTTTTCGTTCCATTTAAGCTATCGACAAATTTTTTCTTTGCCTTTTCGTTATCTTCTTTTTTTCCTAGTGGGTTTGCTAAGCTGTTGAAATCTAAATCAGAAAGTATCAACCGTGGTGGATTGGGTCCTTAATGCTTTTGAATTTTCAGACTGCAGAGATGCCAGACTTCTATGCAAACGGTGAATATGATCTCAGTGGGTTTGCAGTAGGCGTTGTAAAAAAAGATTCTGTTATTGATGGAAAAAACATTGTGGCTGGAGATCTTCTTATTGGCTTGCCTTCAAGTGGAGTCCATTCAAATGGATTCTCCCTAGTAAGAAGGTTGGTTGGGATGTACCTTCATATTTTTGGCTTACATTCTTAATGGAAAACATGGAGTATGATCTCTTACGAATGCTTCATATCTTATAGGGTTATCGAGCGAAGCGGTCTTTCCTTGAAAAATAAACTTCCTGTTGGAGATGTTACACTAGGTGAGGCCTTAATGGCCCCTACTGTGATATATGTCAAACAGGTCATCCTTCAGACTTAGTCATTTTTTCTTTACACCTGAGGTTTGGTTGACATCAAAATACTGCAACTCTTTCTCTTTGCAACCACAGGTACTTGACATTATCAGTAAGGGAGGGGTAAAGGGGATAGCCCACATCACAGGTGGTGGTTTTACCGATAATATTCCCCGAGTTTTTCCCGATGGCCTTGGAGCTGTCATTTACAAGAATTCATGGGAAATCCCAACTGTTTTTAATTGGATTCAAGAGGTAAATGTGAACTTTTTTTTGTTAACCCTCGGAAAATTTTAAGTTTTTCATGCCCTGAAAATATGATGAACTTAAGTATTTCATTCCTCGATTCAATCGCTTGGCTTATTTCTTTATTTGTATGTCTCTGGGAACTACATTTGTGTGTTGTTCCAAAAACGTAAGGGATTCGATGGATAGCATACCTGATGTTCGTTTTTTGTTTCTTGGTAACGTATCAGGCGGGGAAGATCGAAGATGAGGAAATGAGACGCACGTTCAACATGGGGATTGGCATGGTTCTTGTTGTGAACCAGGAGGCGTCGCAACGAATACTCAATGACAACCATGGATCTCAGAGTGCTTACCTCATTGGAGAGGTTGCAGAAGGCGAAGGAGTAAGATTTTTGTAATCTCAATGAAACTTTTGTATCCAAAAGCCTTGGTTGACAAGGAATTGAGCATTTAAACCCATGATGTGTTATGAAACTGAAGGAGACATCTTTAAGGTCATGTGCGTTCTTAAAATATCACAATGCTGTGTCAAATAAGTTGATATGTATGGATGGTTCAACATTCCAATGGGTTTTTATTGAAATAAATTACCCAATTTTTCTTTAAAGAAAAAACATTAATTTTTTTTTGAAATATAATATTTTGGATGCCTGAAGAACTGAATTAGTTAATATTGACATGTTTGGGGCAATGAAAAGAAAGCATTATGTATTCTCTTTTCCATTAATAAAATATTTACATTTTTGCATAAATTAGAACTTAGAAAATTATAATAATTGATGAACGCCAAATTGCCACTCTTTTTTGGAAGAAAAGTTATATATTCTTTTATTCTTTTAAGAAAATGGATGGAAATTCTTCATCAATATTTTACTAAATTTAACTCTAAAATTGAGGATGACGGCAAGTCATCCTTAATCTTAAGGATAATTCATGAAGATGAAAAAAACATGCAGAATTCTTTTGAAAATGAAGCAACAGAAGATTCTTATCACTGAAGAGGTCTTTGCGACTCCAGTAGGTGTTCGACATAAGTATCGTGTACTATTTTCACATGTTCGTCGATCTTTTCTACTGTCCAATTATCTGTTGTTAATGGAGGTAGATACTTCACAGTTAGAGGAGCTGGTCGGACATGTAAGCTGCCCTTTCTCCAAGCTCGATGGGTGCCAGTCATGACAATAGGAACGATTGGAAGCTGTGTTTGCAATGCCAAATGGACAAAGCCCTGCAATGAAACATGAACAACATGCCATCATGTCGAGTGTCAAACATCAGCAACTCAAACAAACACTCGACATCCAAAAGGGTTTTAACATTACCTTTTTGAAGGGTAGCAGCCTTCCATTCTTGGACCTAGTACCCTCGGGGAATATGATTAACGACAAATTGTTCTCCGCAACTACTCGAGCTACCTAAGAATATCAAGGAACAGATACTATTATCGGCATCGATGAGAAAACGACACTCTACGGAAAAACAAGTGCAGGAGAATCTGAGTACCTGCTTCATGGACTCAACTGCTGCATTTGGATTCGATCGATCGACACGAAGATGGTTAGCGAGAATGTAAAGTTGTCCAAACAGAGGGTACCATGTGATCTATGCCAAAAGAACCTCAATATTAGCAAAACAAAGTAGAGATTCTTCCTAAGGGGATGCATGGTGAATCTCTATGATTTGTTAAATTAGGGATAGATACCTCCTTTTTTGCAATGCCAACAGGCCCTGTGGGTGTCAGCCACATTATGAGGAAAATGTCCAAAGGGGATACTCCCTCTCCAGCTCAGGCCGGCAGCTCACTTGTTGAAGTGGTCTCTACAAGTGGTCTCAGTGACAATGGTAGGTCATGGTTGCAAATGTAAATAGCCCTCTCATTGGAATATTCAGAGCCTTCAATCTTTATTGGATTCCCAAGTATCCACATCTGCAATGAATGATTGAATGAATGAGTGTATAAGGATTTGTCACACAACCTATGCTATTAAAATCCTTACTTCAAACATAGTTTAAAGAGGTTTAGGTGTAGACAGTGATTTGCAGCATGATTGGGAGCATGATTGCATTCAGGCTGGTATGGTTAGCAATTAAGGAGGCAGACGCTGAAATGAAGGCCTAGTCACAGCCCCACGCCATACGCCAGGCCATGCACATGCTCACCAGGCTGCCCGCCCATGTGCACATCAAGCCATACGCATATGCACCAACCTGAGCGTATGAACCACTAGCCCAATGGTGCTTGGCCTCGCCGCCCACGAGTGTTCACCCAAAACGCTGCAACACCAAGCCCTCCAGCTCAGCCACACGTTCATGCACCCATGAGCACTCCCACAGACCCTAGCATCTGTGAGATCACATATTAGTTGGAGAGAAGAATGAATCATTCCTTATAGCGATACGTAAGGAGCCATAGTGGACCATATCTGCTAGCGGTGGACTTGGGCTGTTATAAATGGTATCAGAGCTAGTCACCGGGCGGTGTGTTAGCGAGGACGCTGAGCCCCTAAGGGGGGTAGATTGTGAGATTCCACATTGGTTATAGAGAGGAATGAAACATTTCTTATAAGGGTTTGAAAACCTTTCGCTAGTAGACGCATTTTAAAATCGTTACGTTGACTGTGATACATAACAAGCCAAATCTAACAATATTTACTAACGGTGGGCTTGGGCTGTGTCCTAGGTCCAACGACACTTGACTTTGCCACCCACGGATGTTCACCCAGTGCACTCCCAAATGGCTTATCAAACAAGGAAGAAATACAAAGAGATCTTTGGAACATCCCTTTATAAAGTAACAAAAAAACAGGACCAAAGATGAGTTTACCAGTAATCTACCAGTGAGGTGGCCATATATATTGCCCTGTCTATTCCTGTGGTAAGGCCATGGCAGGAGCAGAAGCATAATCAGCCCAAAACAAAGTAGTAACCATCATTGTGAGAAAGCAGGTGATAATTCTGAAACATGATATCAGAACAGAACTCCACCCATTATCATCCACATATATATCATCACCCTTCTCCTTTTTTGATATCTGTTCATCAACTGAACATTTTGGGGCTTCTTTCTTATTTGGCTCATATCTTGTAGCGAACCACCTCTCTAACCTTGTACTCCTCAAACAAGAACCTCCAAGATTCTCCATCTCCATCTTGTTTATGCCAATACCCCCTGCAGCTTTGGATGATATCAGATTGTTATCTGGATGAATTGTACAGTGAAGAACACCAAACTCAGAGTGATTACTTAAAAAAAGAACCAACAAATTGTTAGTTCATTGAGAAACTCATTCCCTTTCACCAAACAGCACTTTTAAGCACTTTACTTACCAGTTGGGAGTGCTTTTGAAGAACTTTCTTTTCCTTTCCTTATTCTAAGAAACTTCGTAATAAAAAATGGTTCTTTTCTTAAATTTAAAATTTCATTTTTTTTTGTCAAATATTGAAAACAGAGAAAAATAGATAAGAATGAGTGACCATTTGTGAAATGTAGTTAAGACTTGTACATGTTTTGACTTGAATGTCTCATTCTCTTTCTCTCTCATCATTTTCCTTTCCTCATAATTTTTTTTTCCCACATTCTTCAATTTTACACTAAATTTCATCCCGCTTAAACAGTCTAAAAAAATTGTGTTCAAAGTGAATAACATCGTATCATTGATCTATATGAATTAAACCAATTAGCTTAGCTTGATGAGCCTCGATTTCTGCACACCCCTACCGTCAAATTTATTAAATGAAATTATTGAGCTAGTTTATAATAATGTTTGATTTCTCATTTTCCCCCACCTACTGGAATTTACTCATACATTGGATTGAAAATAATAGCAAAATGAAAGAAAAAACAAATAAATTAATTAGATGCAGGAGATCTCCATTGAAAAAATGTGGGATCTGGAAACTTCTCTGGTAGGCCAGCTTTTTTAATCTACACTGTCCGCGTGGCATTCATATAACTAGCAAGAACGATTGGTTCACCTATTTTATTTTTTTGTTTATTTTCCCTTGACCTAAATTATTTTAAACTCTTGATATTGAATTCAATTATTTTTAATTCTCTATATTTAAGTAGGATTTGTATTTTCTTTTGTTCATGCTTTGAATTGAGCCTTCCTCATCATCTCAACTTTAACATTTCAATTATCATATCATATCATACTTTTTAGATCTGAATATATATATATATTGGTACAAATAGATGCATTCAAATAAATTACAATAATTAAAGAGATATGTTCACAAATTTAAATATATAGATGGGAGCCGTTACTAAGAAAATCAAAATTTGACAATTCAAAATGCATCAAAAGAAAAATGCTATAAATAATTTTATAAGATCATGTGCGGATCACCCCTTTAAGGGAACGGAAGAAGTTCCTAAGACATTCAATTTAGATAAATAATTCAAGAACCTAAAAACTTAAACAAAACTAATATTTATATTGTAGATATATTCGACTTTGTGTGCGCCCTATGGATTCGAATCCTATTGAGAGGTTCTCTAAAAATAAAAAATTGTTGAAAAAAGAACCATATGTTTCTTTTGTCCCTCCTAGGCGATCGGAAAATAAAGAAATAGTTAATATATTCAAGATAATTACGTGTTTACAAAATACCATCTCAATTTACCCTATTTCATCAAGTTCCACAGGGAATTGTTCATCTCTCAATTCACCTTATTTCATCAGATTCCACGGAGAATTGTTCATCTCAATTCACCCTATTTCATCAGATTCTACAGAGAATTGTTCATGGAACTACTATCAAGATTCTTTGAATCATTTTTTCTAGTATCATTCCGAGTTCATTGCTATTAGACCGGGTGAAAAAGGACTTTCAGCATTTACACAAGCATGAAGCTTTGCCACACACTCCTTCCTTTAGTCTAATTATCTAGCTTTATCTTGGAGTATTTTATCTCCTTTCTGTAATTAAGGCTTATGGACTCTCGTCTCAATGGAGGCCTTTCTTGTAACTATCTCAGAGCGGACTTACTTTTGTATCTACTGCCTAGATCAATGAATGGTTTCATGTTTCCTATAAAAAAAATTGTCACTGACCGTAGTAAACCTAAACAATCATTTCTAGGATTACAAGGAGACCTCAAAACAACCTAAACGGTGGCTTCATACCGATGCTACAACACAATAAATGGTTCAAAGGTTTAACAAGCAAATAACAACGATGAAAACAACCGATATTAGTGTATATATTATTTTAAAGGGAAAAACCAGACTTAAGAAGAGCAGACAATGTCATTTCACATCAACAACCAAATAAGAAGTAAAATGATATAAATCAAATGCAAGGCAATCGCTTATGCCAAACGTATTATCCTCTGCATCTCCTACTACACTGATTTATGCTATTAAAAAATTGGAATCTACGGCAGAAAGAAGAATAGGACTTACAGAATAATGAAGATCGCCCCCAGGGCTTTGCAGCCAGAAAGTATCAATTTTTCCATGCGATGAGCTTGTCCACCTTGTCTCTGTCAAGTTTCTTCGAGAAGAGAGAGCCACATTGACTTGTAGTGTTCATTCTTTTAACGTACTAACTTCCTCACGATAAGAGAGAATAATGCAGGCTCATGTAGGTACTTTTATATTTCTGTCTCAGTCTCTCTCTCCTCTGCTGTTTCTTTCAGACACAGTCTATTCATCCCCTTTTGATTCCTTGATATGGGCATTGGTTCACCAACATTTGTAGAACTGAATAGCTTGCTTGTGTTCCGGGCAAGCAAAACAATCAATGGGTCTCATTAGCATCTTCCCAACATGAAAGGAACTCGGAAGTGAAACGAGTTACATTCAGTCCATATCCAATGATAAGGTGCAGTCCAAGTCTTGAAGGTTGATTTTCCCCATGTATAAATCACTGATGTGATCAGCACATAGAGGGAGGCATCTCTGATTTAAACTTTCATGAATCACTCCCATCCCTCTCACCCATTCCACTCCATTAGATGGATTGACATTCAAAGTCTTTTGCAGTAATCGGACCCTATATAAAATAGAGTCTGTTCTATTGCAAAAATGAGCAATACAAGGATATGAATCTTCATCAGTGACTAATCTAATCAGAAACAAAGAAAAAGCCCCATCCACAGGGTATGGGTCAGCAAGATTTCTTTCTCCCAACATCTTAACTTCTCTTTCTGTTGGGAAGTGCATCTCTTCCTTGCCATTTAAATCAAAGACTTTCAAATCTTTACTGTAATGTTTCATGGCTTCCCGTTTGGTCGATTCATGCTTTTCCGCCAATGTCAAAATACAAGAAAACCTCAAATGGTAAGTTACAATAGTTTTGACCATCTTATAGTTATGACAACAGCAAAAGAAGTCTAACCACCTTCTTCCTACACCGGCATACCACTTGATAATATCTGTATCTTCAAGAGCAATGAGAGAGCTGATAGGCTGAGGACGGCCCATTTTATTTGTAAATCCAATCATCTTCACTGCCTTCCTAACAAGCTCTATAGGAGCTTCAACTTTGATGCATAGCCTTGTTAAGTCCTCAACTGTTCTTTTAGCATATCGTTCTTCTTCAACCAATCTTTTCTCTTCATCCTCCCTAGCCTTCTCCTTTTTGGCCTTTAGAGGATTCAAGTGCTTGTTTACCTGATCTTGAAACCTGTCATAAGCATTTACAAGATCTACTGGCAACTGATTTCTTATGTGTTTTAAGGAGAGGAAATCACCTGCTGACAGCGGACGGTGCCACTCTGTATTATCTTCCAAAGACTCGAAGAAATCTCGCACTACTTCATCGGCCCAATTTCTGAAGATTTCCGTGACTTCCTTCTCGATTTGGAATTCAGATTTCAAGCCATCAGTTCGCTTCAATTTCTTGAACACGTGACTCAATATCTTCAATCCCAATTTTTTCCTGTTTCTCTCACGGGCATTTCTCAATTCTATTGCTCTAACTTCCTTCTGTCTAAGGTACTTCTTCCGAGCCCTGATTGCCTTTTCGGACATTGGTGGATGCAGAACTGAAGGTGGTACTGCCTGTAGTTCCATTCCTAAGAAACTGATTTTCTCGGAGACAGCACTATGAATTGCAGTATTCATTCGATCCACTTCCAATTCTAAATTCCCTTCTAAATACCTTAGCACCTGGCTTTTCAACTCCATTATTTGCATCTTCGACCCCGATGTTATAACTAATATCTCATCCAGATACCTAACGGCATATATTTTCACTGGATTATGGAAAGACACAGTACCGTTCAGACTGAACTTGGGATTTTCTTCATTCTTTTGAAGACGTATTTGTTGAATTTCTTTATCAAAGCCATTGAAGTATATATTTGACAAGATTGAACACAAACCACTTTCCTGAGGGAACCCCCTTCCTAAATAACAACCACCCAATTCAATTTGAACTGCCTCCAATTCAAACAGTTTCTTTAACATAAGAATCAAAATATCATCCTTAATTTTCTCTTGCACCAATAAGCACAACTTATTTACATGTACAGAATCGAACTTTCTGCGACGAAATGCAACGGTAAACCACCAACTAGGATTTTGTACCGAGTTCTTCAGGTACCTAATGGCAGTGTGCCGCCCCATACCGACGCGCCCCCCATAAGAGAACGTTACAAATCGTTCGTCATAAACAATTTCCAACACCATCTTCATAGCCTCGAGTAAGACCTTCAATTTCAAATTCGGTAAGACCAGAAACTCACCTTTCTCTTCCGAAGATTCCAACCGAACACAGCAAGCACCAACATCGAAACGATTTTCGTAGAGCTCCCGAGCCATGTCCTCGACCGAAAAGCAACTAGAGACCATATCGAGACTGAGTAGCGACTCGGGAGCATTGAGGCGATTGCTTGGGAGTGGAGTGATGAGATTTTGCGAGGCGGTGAAAAGAACAGAGGGAGAGGCGACAACATTTTGAAGAAGGTCGAAGAACTTGCCCTGGGAGAATCGAGATAGAACTAGAGCCTCGAGTTGGGGCCTTGTGAGGGTTTGTACAGAGTGTTGAAACGGAAGCTTGAGAAGAGGCGAATGCTTCAGTGGGCGATCAGAGTAAAGTTTGTTTAAGGAAGATGAGAGCTTGGGTTTCAATGGTGTCGCTATCTTTCTTAGGTGGATGAGCATCTGAAGATTGAGGCTGGAGGTCGCCGCAATATTCCCTAAACAGCCACGATTTCAGTTTGTTCGAGGTCTGAAGATTTTCATCTCCTTCGTCGCCCGGTCCAGCCTCCGAAATTTTTCAGGTAGATTATAAATAAATAAATAAATAAAAAGTTAAATTAAATTAGAATTTAATCTTCCACTTTAATTTTTAATTAGTGACAGAAATAAAACTTGAATTTTTAGCTTTTAAAACTTTT